ATAGTTTCGGGTAAGGAAATATTGCTGGAAGTTCTCACTGCAGATTCAAGCGATAGCCGTGGTTACTGCCTTTTTAAAAGTAGTTAATTCCGACTTTCGAATCGCCTCATAAAGAAATGTATTCGAGTCGGCGGAGTTTTTGCAGGATTGTTACGTTTTTTTACTCATTATTGCATGCTTTATAGGTGCCTGCATCTAGTTCGGCAGATAACGTCTATTTTTTCAGTTATCCGTGGATCCATTCTTTGAGCCACTGTTCGGTTCGATAGCTATTTATGATGCGAAAGCTCGGCGAAAAGTAACTGAAAACTTTTATTTCGATGTAAACCCAGAGGAAATACGGCGGATGGTCGACAAGAACATTTCCTTTGCGGAGGCCACCGATAGGTATGATGCTTCCTCTCCCTGATTGTTTAAGCGGTGATAAATGCTTTATATTCAGATGCAGTCAAGCGGCCTTCAGTCTATCGTGTCCTTTAACGGATCTTTTCATCGTGATCAAGGTAAGCACATTTTACTTGTTTCTTTCTCTTCTGTTATGGTCACTGGGTGCATGTACTTCTGCCACCTTCATATATTCGATTGCCTTTTCCCACTGTTTTTTTTTGTTTGCCTTCGTTGAGGTAGAGTCACGACGGGCGGGAACGTAATAGTCGTGAGAAAAGCTTTTGTTTCAAGGCGGCCCAGCTGCAGTTTGGGTGCGCATAAATAGCGATGAAAATGCTATTAAAAGAACTCGGGACTCATAAGAAAAGTGAAATTTTGTTGCTGTAAAAAATATAATTTAAAAGTTTGAATTGTTGACTAAAAAATCTGAATTATGAAAATTAGTTTGCACTTAATTCACAACTTCTATTGGAATTAAAAGAAAAGGGCAAAAGGCAACAGCTCAAAGGCTGATTCCGTGATTAGTCATTGAAACCAAGTCCATCCGCGATTGAGGTTCGCTTCCGCACGTTTGCGAATTAAAAGTGTTGTAAGGAGGGAGCATCACTGATAGCATCACTGCTTAACTATGCATTACTTATTGTCCATCGTTGCGCTGCCTGCGTCTTATCCATTCACTGCGCTATCCCATCTTCGAGACTACTCTCATCGCGGCGCTGTGTATCTCTTACTCTTGGGCTGCTTCTCATTACCTTGAAAATGTCTTAATCGCTTTTTCGACCACTGATAAGTTTTTCTTAGCACCTCTCGCCTTATATTCGAACAAATTGCCTTGCTTGTTTATCACTTTGCCTCCAAGTGGGGCCGAATAATGTTGCCTTCATAGCACCATGCAAAGAAAAGCGTTTAAGTGAAAAGAATTCTCACGAGAATTACATAGCTGGTCAATTATAACATGAACAGGGCGCTCATGTCGTGGGGGGGGATGGGGTGGGCATTCAATCCGGTGAGCCAATTGCTGTGCTTGGGGCTAAGCCTTAGCCAGAGGAAGGGATTCTGGGGTAGGATTCCAGCAAAGTGTGTGTTCTCCCTGGCGTTTCTCCCCTCTTCTCAGCATAGTTCAAGTGCACACTACCATTATGGCTCTGATTTGATTCTCCCTATGACCCCTCCAAAGGAACATATGCCGCCCCCATGGGAGGTATAGTGATTGTTGCCGGTTTAGAATTTATCTATTTCTTCGACGTTGAATGTTGCATAAAGAAATGGTAATTTCGTGGTTATGGCTTTTGAAAGCATCGCTGAAAGATTTTCAGTGACATTGAAGTTGACTAGTCCTAGTTTTTTGAATGCTGTCGGGGAAAAGGTCGGAAAATGATGTTCGTTTTCCATGATACATTCGCATGATGGTTGTTTGTAAAGCCAAGTGGCTTTTCATGACGTGGCGTTTATAGCTTTATGGTCAGCACTGCCAGCTACGAATGTGATGCTAAGAGAGCGTATAATGGGGAACTGACGTTAGTCAGTTTGTCGATATGTTAATTTCAGGGTGCGATTTGAAATTGGCTATGGCAGGTTCAGGTGCTCGAGAGAAACACCATTCTGAGGGTTTTCTGTCCAAGCGGTTTCTAGAATTTGCTTGAAAATCTGCAAAAAGATATTAGCTTGTGAAGTATTTGTTCCTCAGGGTGTTAACCAACAGTATGCTTTCCTCCTGTTGGTAATTGTGAGTGCGGACCACACTTTTTGGCGGTCCTAACTTAAACCCCGCAGCCGCAACGCTAAATAGTGTAAGTTTTAACGCGAGACGGTGATCACAACGAGGGATAGAGATGGTTGTAATTGCCGTCATAGGCAACGATACTTTCCCTCTCAATGTTTTTAATTCCAATATTTGTTCCAATCTAGCTATTCTCATTTTATTTATTTATTTATTTATTATTCATTTCTATACACTCAGTGGTGTGCACAGTCAATAAGAGCGCCACGGAGACAGCAATTTAACGATAACAAAGCGACCTTGAGAACAGCTAAATTTCAGATAATTAAAAGAAACGAAGCATCGGGTGTATTGAATATTTTGTGCCCTCCTAGATGAGGTGGCGAGGTGTAGTCCAGCAGTATCGGACAGGCATAATTGTGTATTTTATAAAATCTTCGTCATCAATACCTCAAAGGATTTCCTTTAACATATCTCTGTCAACTGACGTTGTGTCATTTTAATTACTCTTTTTTTACAGCTCGAGAAGGTATTGCAAGCGTGCGAGATCATTGACGCGTCAGAGCCGTACACAAATTGCGCAGCTCGCGATGAAAGAACGCGGGAAAAGTTGGCTGCAGCTGCAGCAGACTTTTGTGATAGGCTAGGTGAGAATCAATCAGAATGCTTTCGACAACTCATTTTGACGCATTGACTAACCCATCATTCAGGCTCATTCCGAATGCCTCTCGGATTCATGGTCCTCGATCTACAGAAGGTGCTAATGGGTGTGAACACACTGGAACGGTCGGAGATGTGTATGTCGACAATGACTACGGGATCTGTTGGCACCGCAGCAGGTGGGATTGATTGATATAGTTGTCAGGATTTGTTTATACAGATTTTGAAGCCTATACCAATGTTTTGATTTTACTTTATATTTGCTTTCTCAGTAATTAGAGTTCTTTTATTTGTTCAGGCGAGGCAATGGCCCCGTTAGCATGTATCGCTGCAGAAACTGATAGCATAGTCAGTGCTGACCGAATGTCAAATACTTCCACATCGACGTTTCGACGAATGGGAAGTGGGTCATCGGCGGCTGCAGTGCTTAGTCGCGTGCGCACTCCACTTCAGCGGCGCAAATTTTTGGGAGGAGGAGGAGGTCAGCGTGAAATAAAGTTTGTTTCCGCCGCCTTTCCTAAGTATGCTTCGTTTAGGCAGTGACGATGCCACCACTCCTGATGGTTCTTCTGCAGGAAAATCTATAGAGTTGAACTTGGCTAATCTTCAGCCTGTCACTCTTAACCTGAATTCGTTCTTTCGACAGGTAACGTAGCACACAGTTCTCAAACAAGAGACTACTCATTTCTAATAATCTTTATTGTAGGAGGCTGATAGGTTAAGTGACGAGGATTTGTACAAGTTGTTAGCTGACGCTCGACGTCCCGGCGGAAAGCTGTCGCGTTTGAAAACGTTCGCGGTTGATATGGGATTACAACTGTCTGGTGAGTTAACCGCCACCTACTCTTCAGTTAGCACGGTTATATAGTTCGTTCGTCCGATCGTAACGATCCCACAGAATTAGATGAGTATTGTTCGCCCAATCTGACCAGACCGTCGGATGATCAATACGTATCGAACACTATGCGACCGGTACTTCGGACAACCGAATTACAAAAGCGTTTTAGCTTCATTATTAACCTTAAAATAGCAGTGGTTAGCTTTGATGGTAGATGAAATGATTCATGCTATTCTGGGGTATCTACTGTCAACTTCTAGTTTGTGATATGTTTAGTCGTACAGAAGTGCGCAAGATTGTATTCGATGTTGTAAAACCCGCATTAATATTCACCTACGTTATTATGTCTTTTACGTGTAGAACGGGTCATGAGGGCAAAGTGCTATTTCTTCTGGAAGTCGATATTCGTCGCTCTCCTTCGGCAGAGTTAATCGAAATAGCCTGGATTTTTGGTCTCTCGATGGTCATGACGAAAATTTTAGGAGGGACTGGTGAAGAGCTCTTGATGCGGCTCAGTCCGGAAATGTTGCGTGTTGCCCCCTTCAGTGGAGGACCCGGCACTGAGCTCACTAAAGACATCCAAGAGTTCCCCGCGAAAGGCTTCTACATGGCCAATACAAGTTATCGGTGAGTCTATTTTGATGCCATAATTATTTTCGTGTATTTGAATCGCACATTCCGAAGCGCATCTCGTAGGTACTCCCTGCCCCTGTTAAAAATTGCTTCGTAATTTTACAATTATTCTATTTCTATTTGTTGACGGCCAATAGGCTTGGTTTTCCACGTCGTCGACGTTACTATGGAGTTTTACATTAATTGTTATGGTTTAGGAACTTGATGTACATATACCCTAAATCGGCTAACCTCACAAATCGACCTGGTACAGCACGGAATATCTCAATCAAGGTGGAACTGATGAACGCGCAAGAACAACCTTTACGAGTATTATACTCCAGGGGTGCAGGTTCAGATATGGTATCGGTGGCGAGGACTGCTGTTATTTATCACAACAAGTGAGTAAAGAGCCTTATTGTGTGTTAAACTGTTTTCCTCCATTTTATTGGATCTGGTAAGACTCGAATCTTTGTATTGCAGAACGCCTCACATCACAGATGAGATTAAACTTCGAATACCGGTGGATTTGGATGACGGGCATCATTTATTGTTTACTTTCTATCACATATCTTGTAAATCGAACAACAAGGACGAAGAAACTGAATATCCGATCGGATACAGTGTTCGTTTCAACCGTTTACACAGCTCTGTATTCTAGTTGCTCTTACGGATTCTCGATGATTTCAGTGGCTGCCCCTTCTAAGAGACAGTCGATTGTCAACGGGAGACTTCAACCTTCCAATATGTCTCGATCGTCTTCCCTCTAGTTATGGGTACCTCTCTCCGGATGTCGCTCTTCCGAATGTTCGGTGGCTTGACGGCCATAAGCCTGTCTTCAATGTAACCATCAAAGCCATAAGTACCGTTCACCCTCAGGTTGGTTGACGTAATATTACGGATTTGCGAGCAGCTCACCTTATTTGTTACTACTTGAATTGCCCACTTTTGAAGGATGAACATTTGGAAAGGTTTCTCGTTGCCGTAAATTCTCTGTCATCTACAGATAGAAGGAAGCCGCCGGCAAGTGAAATAGCGCTGATTACAGCTGCACAGGTTTGAAACATTTCAGCTTCTTTAATTCTAAATTTAAAAAAAAATCTAATTCTAATTAACTTTTTTTCGTAAGTTTACGGCGGTTGCAACAACTTCTGGTTTGTTTTGTGAATTATACTTGAATGGCTAAAAGGAATAACTCGGGGTTGTAGTCCTTTTTGGGCTGCGCCACGCTTTTCTGATAGTACCAACGTGCAATTTGGTACAGTAATGACCTTTCGGTGCTGCCGATTTACCAATTCAGCTTTTTTGTCCTCCCAAACTATCGTTGTGCAACTAACACGTTTGACGCCGGCAGCATACCGATTTCGGCGCTGTGGCATTGGCGGTATTGCGTGCGCGCATACTCGGCGATGCTTTAATCTCATATGTGGGACATTTCGTGCGTTTCCATTACGGGACCCACATAGCAGATTTGTTGGAAGGGCGCGGGAGCTTTCGTTCCCATACCAATTATGAATTTTTAAGTTTTGCTTGTCACTACGGTTCATAGGTCCAATAAGTGTTTAGCTTGGTTTCGTACGTATTTCTGTGAGCTAGTAGACGTGTTGATTAGGAAAATTTTTCGATAACAGTTTGTTTTTGGTTGCCAAAGGAACTCGAAGTTTGGAGCGCAATTTGCATGCAAATTTCGTAATTGATGATAACTTGTTCAGTAGGTAGGCGTATTAGAATCTGATTGTTTGTGTTGAAATTGAAGTTGTCGACATGCCACACGTTCTACGGATTAATGAGACTAACAGAAGTCAATTAGTCAAAGAAGTACTGGAAAAGGTTCATGGGGGAGCAAAATACAGATGTGCATACCCGGCGATGCACAAATGTCAGATGTGGGAGTTTTGGCGTGCATACCCGGCGATGCACGCGGGCTGCAATGTGTTAATCGACATCGGAAGGAAGGAGGGAGTTTTGCATTGATGAGATTTGAACCTCTACCGTGTGCACGTATTTGGGAACGTATCTTGTCATTGCACCACTTATTATAATATTTAGGTCAACATTTACAAAATTAGGAAAATTCACTTAATGTATTGCCATAGCGGTCAGTCTCATTCTTATTTTCTATGCGTCCCATTTTTTTCATCTTTTATGTCCCTACCACAGTGGACAAAGCTCCCGTTTTACTGCACCACCTTAATCCTAACCAGTGCTCGAATATGATTTAATGAGTGGAAAACTTCTGTCACCGTTAAATATTGTCACCCACCTAGTCGAAAGAGTTTTTAGAGTGTCATCAAAGCACGTCCCTGAACCAATGGTTGCTTTTATGTACAATGTGCTGGACAAGTTGATCGCTCTGATTGCAAATAAACCTTACTCAGGTAATCTATTCATTAAGAAAAGTGAAAAGCGATTTAGAGAAATAGCCCACCAGAGCTTTTTTTCCAGATGCATTATCAAGCGCATGTTTCGAGACATTGGGACAGCTGGTGAAAATCTGTACCATGTTGTTAGACTCATGCTTAGATATGCACGGTCGGAGTGCGCTTCTGACATCTTATGTGCACTACTACAAAATAGCCATGAAAGGTTTGTTGCAGTTAGTTCAGTTCAGTGTTGATTTGTCTTTTTCTGAATATTGCGGTGTGGATGTTCATTAGGGTGCATTTTGTTTTAGTCAATTTCTATTTGTTTGAATCCATGTAACTAATTCTCAACGGTTACTACCACATGCGGAAAAACCTTGGGTTACTGTGTTCCCTTTCTGGCGAAAGTAGCTTTTCGTGGCACACTCTGATACATTATAGTTTTGAATTTGCTCCACCGCTCTCCTTTTGATCTGTAAAATTCGCTAATTCTTGCATAAAGTCATTAGGTTGTTCCTTTGGTTGCTTCGCACCGTACTCGAATCTGCAGTGTTTTTCTTATAACTTTGGGAAGCTCGATCTCAGATAGCTCGATATAGACTTAGTTGGGCGAAACATTATCATAAAGGTTTTAAGAGTCCGAAACAAGGAATCGCCGCTGTGTAAGGATATGCCGCGAGAAAACAAGCCTGTGGCTCCCGGAAACTCCAGAAAGCTCCTACCACAGTCATTGGTCTGTTTATTTTACAGTAACAGACAGATCCTAATTTTATGACTGCCACTTCACGTTTTCTTTTCAGAAGACGTTGAGAAATTAAGTGCGCACCACCAGCGCGTTCCAGTTGACGCGGTGCCCAGCACGTCCAATAAGGCAGTGCATGAAGAATTAGCCGAGCAGTGGGTCCGTAGTGGCGGTTGTGCCAGGGAAATGGCGTTTCTGAACGCTTGGTTCTTTCTGGAGTTAATGGTAGTTTTCCAGATCTTTTCTTCTTCATTTCTTGAACTACCGAAAACTGGTTTCCAGATAAAGTCAATGGCAGAGTACCTTTTCGATGACCGGGAAGATGGACTAACACGACCGATCGCGATTCAGTGAACGTTTTGTGAAAGCGCTCGACTCGTTATCGTGTGCGACAATCGCCGAAGTGGTCACCCGTCTTAACAAAGATCCGCGCCAGGCGGTTGCCATCGCAAACAGCTGGGCGTTTTTTGTGAGGTACGAATGGCTGACACCTCTCAATAGGGGACTTCTGGATGACAGTGGTGATAGTTAGTAATTTCACACGTGCGGGGGGGGGGGGAGGGGAGGGGCACCAAATTTGAGATGAAATTCGCCACAGGTACTTCATGCATTCTAATATCTACATATCAGAGGGTGTCGAGAATGGCTGCGCATTTAGTAGAGCTTTTCGAAACAGCTTTTGTTACGTGGCGGGTGCAATAGAATATTTTTTTGATAATTCTTCAATTCAAAAAGACTGATTTTTCTGCTCAACTGTGCAGTCAGTTTCGCGAATTAGGGTGATTTCGGAAAATGTTCAAAATACAGCGAAATGGAAATGCTAACAGTAAATTTTTCTAGATTTTACCGTTTGAGTTTCATGCAGCGGAACAAACTGGACTTGAAACATTTACATTGGTCTTTACGTTCTGGCTGGTTATAACTAGGATTGGAAGCGTTGGCTGTGAGCGAACGGTTGTGGTTGTGTTTTCGCAGCCCCGAATGTTATCTAGTGGCTTGTTTATTGATTCAGAAAACAGGTTTTGTTCAAACAGTAACGGGACATTATCTGACTTCCCAATGTTTGAGTGTTATGACTTTTCATATGAAAGTCGCTGCCTGTATTCAGTAGCTTCTGAATACTATGTCATGCGTTTCTGGATAATAACATTATTTTAGGGATGCGTTTTCGCTTCATGGATCGTAGCTACGTCATGGGTCTCGTTCGAGATTTCAACAGAGATATTTCACACAGGAATAAGGTACTTGCGTGCTCAACAACTCTGTATCCATGTTTCTCACACTATTCTTTTAGCTGCATTGTGGAGAACCCGCGGCGACGACTTTGATGTTGTTGAAGTTGGACTTTGTGCGGATTGTAAGCTCTCATGAGCACTTTGTCATTCTGAATCTCCCATTTGGCCCACCTCATAGTGTTCCGACGTCTACATCATCGTCATCGATTTGTATATCGTCTGGCACTGGAAGCTCAGTCACTCAGATGGCTCTGAGCCCAGAAGTCTGGTAGCATTTCGAGCAGGTGTGTTTGCAGTTGTTGACTCTGCTGTGTTTACAAATTTGGGGGTGTTTTATATACCAATGAGAGACCTCGATTGCATTTTTCTCAATTTTTTCAATTTATGACTCACCCTGATCACTGTAGTTGAGCTTACGGATTTGATTGAAACCGAGTTCTTCCCGCTCTTGGACTTTTGCTATTTCCCTATGTCTGGGCCTAAGACATTGTTCTTCAAAATCGACCTTTTCCGTCACACTTTCAAAAAACACTGCTGATATGACTGCTGCTGACGAAAGCGTGACCTGGGCAATTCTTTAGGAAATCTCATAGGATTTTCTTCCGACAGTATAGTGGAGTTTCCTCAATGCATTCATTGTTCATGGCGAAAATGGGATGTTAAGTTTCAGTTTACAACTGTGACCCCAAAACGTCTTAGAAAATTTCAACAGATTCCGCAGAATCTGTAACTTATTATTGTCGCAAAACCTTTCTTTTTTTCTCACGCATTCGAAGTGACCCTTTCTGCAGTAAACTGAGTAAAATTTTTGTTTTCTAGGTCAACAACTACGACATTAGATTCATGGGGATCGTTAGGATCGGGCGAGCTGTCATATGAGTTTCGCCGTTGTCATTATCTTGTTGGACTCGCTTTAGCTGATCTCGCTGCTGTTCTAGATTCCTCGAATAGTTCGGTGTTACATGCAAGGCGAGCAAAGTTATGAGTAGTTCTGGTTTACACTCTACTAATTTTTTGATTTGAATAGCTATTGATTCTATAAACACAATACAACCTTTGTTTTGTAAAATATCTATGAAATATAATTCTTTTTCACGCAGTCCCTTGCTGCGGAGTTGCTGTGCAATTTTTGAGCATTTTTTACCTTCATCGTAGTTTTATAGGGCTATTGGTCTCATACATAATCTCCTATCATCTCATGAAGCTGACAGCCGACTGACAGATCCAACTATACGAGCTCGAGTTGCTGGCCTTTACTTACCCTTAGTAACTATTGTTCTTGATGTAGCCGGGCAGATCCACGATCCCTTCGCAAACTCTCCAACTGGTACAAGGTAAGCTGCTGGGCAGTGTTTTGAATAATCGTTCAAAGTTTAATTGATTTCCGTTCCAGCCGTTTCTCAAGGGAGGATAGGAATGGCAATTCCACTTCACCAGGAGTGAATCCGAAAGTCGCTCTTGCTATAGCTGGTATCGGTTCTGCACCTTCCCCACCTCGAACACCGACAGAGATGAACAACAACAGGCCGGAGAAGAACAAAGCTATGCTAAATCTCGAGTTGTCGAGACAGGTTTGTGTCATTCTGCACCTACTTAGTTCACGCTAACAGTACTTCACAACCCTCCTATTTAGTTGTTAGCATGCTTTTGTTGGGTCCTGAAGAATGTGGAAGGATCATCATTGCGGCATTGGGTACGAGAACTTCCTCCAACCAGACTCTCTCAACTTCTCAATATTCTTCAACTTTGTGTGTCTTGTTTCGAGTATAAAGGAGGAGCAACGACGGTTTGTATCTTTTTTTAGTAGTTTTTCTCTGCAAGGACTCATATTTCACTATTTCTTCAATTGTTTAAGCTCAAGATTCATCTACAGTAGAACAGCTGCCTTCCTGCTCTAACTCGTCTCATGGGGCCGTACCTATCCTTCCCCCCTGGGGACGCGTCCCCGCCGCTGATTCTGTCCTATGCTTGGGAGAGAGAGGTTGCGTCATAGGACCCGCCATTGAACGCGTGATGTTGTAGCTACCCTCCTCTGTTGAAGCACTCTTTTCTCTGAGGTTTCGCGCTGTCTGTAGCCAGAAACGCAGAGTATGGCTGGTCTTATGACGCAGCCCTGTCTCCCCCAATCATAGTATAGTATCAGCCGCGGGGGACGCGTCCTCTAGGGAAAGGGTGGAATACGCTCATGGGGATAGCACACATCAAGTTTTTCTCTCCTGCAGGGGGAAATTTTATAATTACAAAATTACAACATTGATACATGTGGCATCAGATGACATCAAGAAAGGCACACGTGTCAAGGTTTTTTTTTTTGGAGGGGGGGGGATGACGCCACATGTGTGCTGAGTCGTAATTTCAGCATGTCCCGCTCTGGGATGCCGATCATACTCTACAATGGACCTCAGAGCCCTAATGATTAGAGCTATTTCTTAGCGCACCGTGAAAAAGAATTACCGTAAAAGTGTTCAAAAGATCGCTCAATTCTTTCCTATTACAGCATGACCTTTTTCAGTCGCATGCGGAGAATGGTCATGATCTCGATGAAACTCTCACGGAATGTGTCGTAACACGCCGTGATGGAGTCAGATGGAGAATAGGACCACCGTCATCTGGGGAAGCTGATTCACGCAGGACGAGTTCACTCTGTACATATTTTTTTCAATTTTTGTTAGTATTATAATACTAATTACGCTCGAGCACATATTCAACAAAGCCTTTTTGCCCTCCTTTTATTGCTTGAGAAAATAAGCTCTGATTCATACTATCCCTTTCACCTATAATTTTAGCCAACAGTCCTACTCAGCGCATCAACTTGCAGTTGTCAAGATAAACATGGGCAAAGCTCGCAGGCGAGCGTTGCTATGTTGCTCGATTTCTCGGCGGACAGGAACTGACGATGAGACTGCCGAGCATTATTGCCGCTTTATTTTTCTGCTTACCCGTACACACCTTTACCCATTTCTCCTCGGTCTCGCAGCTGTTCTGGAACCGATTCAGAAAGTGAAGGATAGGGAATTATACTCTCGGGACCGCCTATTTCTGCGCATTCATGTTCACTGTGGGACTCCACTCAGCTCATGTGTTCTCCATGCATTCTGGCTTATGCTCCACCTATCTCGAACGAGGCTCGCCTCCCAGATTGTTTTGCAGACAATGCCGAATCTCGTTACGGCTACATACACACAAATACAGACAAGCAGAAATCTGAACATTCACACCAATCAGCTGCATCAAATGTGCTTTTGAATTCTCCCGTATAGAAATTGTCGCTCCTTTTCAGGATTAAGGCACAGGTCTATGAGCATTCTTCCTTATAAGGCATTCCGGCTAAGCAAGGAAGTTGAAAAAATTGGATTTGTAGCTTTTTAGCAAATACACAGCTTTTGAACACTTTCTGTTTCAGTATATGAGGATGAGGCCTTGTTGGCAGCG